AAAATAAACAGAGTGATCGAAAGCACGGTTGAGCAGGAGGGTCTTGAGATGGCTCTTGAAGTGGGCATGGGAGGGGACGAGGTGGAGGAACTGCGGGATGGAGTTCCAGAGGGTGGGGGCAGAGTGGCAGAAGGCACGCCTGCCAATGGTGGGGTGGGTGAGGTGGGGGACATGAAGCAGGCCGGAGCCCGCTGAGCGGAGGGAGTGCACAAGACCATGGAGGGCTTTGAAGGTGAGGACCAGGATCTTGAACTGTATCCTCTGTGTGATGGGAATCCAGTGGAGTTGGGCAAGGATGTGGGTGATAGGGTGGCGGAGCCTGGTGCGGGAGAGGACCCGGGCTGCAGAGTTCTGGATGATCTGCCGCCTGTGGAGGGAGGAGTTGGAGAGGCCGACAAACTGGGAGTTTGCGAAGTCGAGCCTCGATGTAATGAAGGCGTGTGTGAGGGTCTCGAGGGCATGTGGTGTGAGACAGTAGCGGAGCCGGGCGATGTTGCGGAGGTGGGGGAAAGCAGAGCGGGTCATGGCACTGATGTGGGGTAGAAAGGACAGTTGAGGGTCAAACAAGATGCCAAGGTGCCGGACTGTCCCTCTCTACCCTATACGTTCCTCACTGAAAGCTCCCTCTTTCCCCAGTGAGAAACTCCTCTGCAGCCTCCCCCCCTCCCCAACCCCCTACCCACCTCTGTGACCTCCTGTCCTGGCTGTTCCCTTTGTCCAGCAAACACTGGCTTGCTTCATGTCCTCCCCCCACACCACCATCTGACCCACCATCACCCATTTGCCCTGCTCTCTGGAGCTCCATTCCCTCCGACTCCCTCCCTCTCCTCTTTCAAGGCAACAACAACACAATTATGTTTGTGTAGTGCCTTTCACGTCGGGAGGACGGCCCAAATCAAGACCTAACTCTGACCACGATGTCAATTAAATGTGACATTTCTCCAATAGGGATCTCGGTCCTCGGCAGCCAAAAGGCTGGACCACCCATCCCAGGGTCACATCTAGAGAGCTTTACAGGGATGGGAGTTGGACACTGCCAAAGAAAAAGGATTAGAGGTGGGACATAGAGAGGAAGAGAGGGGGTGAAACTCTGAAAACTGAAGAGTGTTCCAAAGCTCTGGAAGAGTCTCCATCAATCCCTTCGCCTCATCTTCATGTCCTGAAGACCCTCCTCTTCGACTGTGATTACAGTCACCTTTCCCTGTCATTCTCCATCAATGCCAAATACTCTGGGATCTATAATAAGTACAAGTTGTTGTTGTTGAAGCAGAAGGATAGAGTGGGGGGGAGGGGGGAGTTCCAGGAATATTGGTGCAGGAAATGACGCCTCGGAGGCCGATGGGGATGCTGGTGGGGCCGGGAGTTACACAGAAAGTCTGAGTGAGCGGAACAAGGTAGGATTCAAGAAGGATTTGAACTTTTGAATCTCTCAGCCTGGACTCTCTGGGGCTATAACATTGTCCCCCCCCCCCCATGATGACCCTCACCAGAGGCTAACCATGCCTCACTGATCGCCCCCCCACCCCGCCGGTCATTATTAGCCTCATCAACTCAAGCTACCTCCCCAAAATGCCCCCTCCCCTGTCCTCCACCCTCCATTACTCCTGCTCGGTCCTCCTCTCCCATCGCCCCCACCGACTCCTATCCCTCCTCGACTATCCCACAGCCTCCCTCTGCTTCAGCTGTGAATCCTCCTTCAGGCCCACCCTGGCAGACGCTCTGACTGCCCCATCCCCCATTCTCGCCTCAAGGTTCACCGGTCCCTGACCACGGGGGCCAACCTCTCCTCCCTCATCCACATCCCCACCCTCCCTGTCAGTCCTCCCCCTCCCCACATTCCGCCACCAACTGTCCCCTCCGCATCGGCCTAGAAAATGTCTGCTTCCTCTCCCACAAAACATTCGCCATCCAACGTATCACTGTCGTCGAAAACATCACAACCTGGATCACTCCAGGCGACACCTTCCCCCTGACAGAGGCCACACCACCCGGCTACACCTTCCATCGTACTCCTCGACCTGACTGCCGCCGTGGTGGGGTGACTCTCAGCTTCCAGTCCCCGCTCGACCTATCCCCTGACTCCTCTGGAACTTTCCCCTCCTTTGAGCACCTTATCCTTTATAACCCTCCAACCTTTCCCTCAAAATTCTTATCTATCACCCCTCAAGCCTTCCCCCACCTTCATCCCTGACATCTCCACCCTCCTATTGTCCCTCTCCCTTTGCTCCAAACGCCTCCTCATCCTTGGCGACTTCAACCTTCACTTCACCCCCTCCTGCTCTACCTCTGCTGACGTTTCCTCCCTTATCTCCTCCCTCAACCTCTCCCTCCACATCCATTCCGTCACCGAAGTCCGCGGTCACCCCCTCGACCTGGTGATCACTTGGGGCCTCACTGTTTCGGACCTCACCATCCCAGACCATCACTTCATCTCCCGTAACTCCTCAGTTCCTCTCCCCACCGTCACCCAACCCACCTCCTTCTCCTACCGCCCCTGGAAAAAAATCTCCCCCCCCACCCATTGGTTGCCTTGGAGTCAACTGAACTCCTTCCCCTCTGGGCTTCCTCCCGCAATTACCTATTCTCCTCAGTGACTCTTCTCCACAGCTCCCTCTCCCCCAATCTCGATTCCCTTGCTCCCCTCTTCTCAAACCATCTCCTATTCATGTAAGTCACCCTGGTACACCAGCCAACTCCGCTTCTTTAAAACACAGTTGCATGCCACTGAGCTCACTTGGCTTAAATCGTACTTAACTGTCCGTCGGCAGATCTGGCTGGACCTTATCAAATTTTACCACTCCGTCCTCGCCTCCACTAAATTGTTGTTCTACACCAAGACAATTTGGAGGCCAAGGCCAACCCCAGGCTCCTCCTCTCCATCACCAGCTGGCTCCTCCGCCCACCTTCTCATGTCTCGCCCATCCTCACCTTAAATGTCAACTGCGAGGCGTTGCTGGACTTCCTCAAATCCAAAGTCAAGGGAATCCGCTCAGCTGCCTCTGTCCTTCCATCTTCTACTTCCATCTTCCTCCCTATCTACCCCTCCCACCCCGACCCCTACCCATCCCTCCCTCCATACCTTCGAACCTGTCTCCCACTCCTCTCTCACCACCATAACCCGCACGAAACCGAACACCTGCTCCCTCAACCCCATCCCTATCCCTGTCCTTACCTCTCAGCTCAACTCCTTGCCCCTCGACTCACCAACATCATAAACCTCTCCCTGTCCATGGCCCTGTTCCCACCCCATTAAAAACGGCGTCATCACTCCTGTTAAAAAACCCTCCCTGGATCCACCGCCACTCTCAAACTACTGTCCCATCTCCAACCTCCCTTTCCTCTGCAAAGGCCTGGAATGAGTTGTTGCTTCCCAGCTCTGCTCCTTCCTTTCCGCCACTTCCTTCACAAACTCCTCCAATCAGGTTTTATTCTGTCTATCTGCGACTGGGGCTCCCTCTGCCTCCTCGTCCCCGCTTGACATTCTACATAAGAACATGAGAATTAGGAGCAGGAGTCGGCCATTCGGCCCCTCGAGCCTGTGCCCCACCATTCAATAAGATCACGGCTGATCTTCTCACCTAACTCTGATTACCTGCCCTCTCCCCATGTCCCCTAATCTCTCTGTTTTTTTAAAAATCTATCAGTCTCAGCCTTGAAGATGTTGAAGGACTGACATCTACAGCCTTCGGGGGGAGTGAATTCCATAAAGTCACTGCCCTCTGAGTGAAGAAATGTTTCCTCAACTCTGTTTTAAAAGGCTGACCCTTAATTTTCAGACTGTGACCCCCGGTTATAGATTCTCCCACCAGGGAAACAGACCCTCAGTGTCTACTTTATCCGCCCTTTAAGAATCTTATATGTTTCAATAAGATCTCCCCTAATTCTTCAGTTGCTGCTGAACCTGCAAACTAACTTTTTGAGACTGGTGTACAAGGACACCCAAATCCCTCTGAACACTAACACTATCTAATCTCTCCCCCTCTAGAAATTAATCTGTTCTATTTTTGCTACCGAGGTGAATAACTTCACACTTCCCCACATTAAATTCCATCTGCCCACTCCCCTCGCCTATCTATATCCGGTTGCAATCTTTTTGCATCATCCTCAGAGCTCACTCTCCCCCGAGTTTAGTGTCATAAACGCAAATTCTCACAAATTACAAGTTTTCCCCAGTTCGCTGCCCCCCTTTGTTTATTAAAATATAACCAGCACGGAGAGCAGAAACAGTATAAGCTGTTTACAGTATAAGGAAGATTACACAAATTGGCTTCATAGCAGGATGAAGCCTCTCCTCTCCTGCTCTGCCCTGGTCCTGTGTTCAGGCTGAGCGCTTTGTGACCAGCACCAATATTTCACCCGGGTTGTGGATTTCATGTGGGCTTCAGGGTATGAATGTGAATGAAGTGCTTTTGATTTTCAGAATACCAGGCATGAGGGACTCCAGTTACATGGAGAGACTAGAGAAGCTGGGTATATTCTCCTCAGAGCAGAGAAGGTTGAGGGAAAATTTAATTGAGGTGTTCAAAATTATGAGGGGTTTGGATAAGATGGGGAGAAAGAGTTTCCTCTGGCGGGTGGATCAGCAACCAAATATTTAAGATCATTTGCAAAAGAACCACAGTGGAGATGAGATTTTTTTTTAACCGTTAAGGGTTGTTACGGCCTGGAAGGGCGGTGGAAGCAAATTTGATAATAGCTTTTAAAAGAGAACTGGAATAAGTACTCAAATAGGAAAATCTGCAGAGCTATGGGGTGAGAGCCGGGCAGTGGGACTAGTTGGATAGTTCTTTCAAAGAGCTGTCAGAGACACGATGGGCCGAATGGCCTCCTTCTGCAAGATCCTATCATTCTAAATACTGGACGTTTTACTTCACTCACATTTACACCCTGAAGTCTGCGTTAGATCAGGTAAGTATTCATTTTAAAACAAGACACAGGTTGAAACAGGAAATCAAATGAAGCTGATTTTTTTTTAAAAAAGGGCCAACATTGCCTTTATGTTTACAAATTCACATTCCTCCAAAAATGGTTTTAACGCTCCCTGGTTTTAAAATAAAGTCAAACACATTGGAGACAAGGTGGGGGAAGAGAAAATACACCCCTCCAAATCTTCGCCCCAAGCCCTCCCCCCCAACACAAGCACAAGACAGTAACAAGCATTGCAAATATGGTTCTCCCACCTTCAAGCACAGACAAATGGCACTGTGTTATAAACAGCTCACTGTTAAACCGTTCGGAGTGAATGAAACTCTTTCCTCCCCTCCAACCCACCCACCCGAATCCCCCCCCAAACAAATGAGCAAAAGGCCCCCCATGACTGTCTTCAGCAGTTTCCAGTTTTGCTGAGTGAATCAAAAGCACTTTCTGTTTCAAAACCTATGACAACAAAAAAAACAGGATCTTTGCACCCGACCAACGAATGATTCCTCCCTCCCTCTTCCCCTCCCAAACCCACCACCAAAACATTCAGTGTTGTCTTCAGGGGTGAACTCACAACAGGATTCTTGGAAAGGACTGCCGTCAGTGGTGCGTCTCACTCACACACATACACACACACACAGTAACCTAGAGCCTCAAGCTTAAAGGCTACGTTGTACAATACTTCAGATTTATTTTTTTTATACAATTTTCAGCATTTTTGTTGCTTTTTTCTAAAAAAAACAGAGTTCATTAATTACACCCCATTGTGGAGCTCCAGCGGATTCCTCTATCTCTCTCCCTACCCCCACCCCGTGCGGTTCATCATTCAGTCTTTGTTCTCTTCCCGTTGTCGGTCTCCTCTGTCGAGTCGGGCTGTTTCCGTTTGTGGGAGTCGGGCCGGCTCTTGGTGGCCCGTGGTTTAAAAGTGATGATAATGCACGTCATGTTGTCACAGCCAGTTCCATCACCAGACGTATCTGGGGCCAAGCACTGGTCCAGGAGCTGTCAGGGCAGGAAGACAGCCAGTTAGTTAAACAGGAGTCACAGACCAAACTCGGAATGTTAAGACTGCAGGGAAACAGGCTCGACTGGTTACTGCTCATGCATGTAAAGATTCTGAATGATGATAGAAGCCCAACTAACTCACAGATAGGCTCAGTAGAAGTCAGATATTTCTGAGTTACTTTTTAACCCACCTCCACTCTTTAACCCCACCCCCCCTCCCAATATTCAATCCCAATGATGTATACATTTAGAGGTCACGTGTAATGACACAGCATTTATTGGTTGCCTCAGGAAAGTGACATTTGCTAACGAATGGTTAGAACAAGAATTGTACTGAAACTTAGAAGAGGCGCATGTTGGTACTGCATTGGTCTATGAGCAGAGACTGGAGGAACTGGGGCTTTATGCTGGAACAAAGACAGTTGAGGGGTGACCTGATCAAGATCTTTAAACTGGTTGCGATAACATAGTCAATAAGAAGAAATTATTCCCACTGGTTGTTGAGTCAGTGACCAGAGGGTATTAATTTAAGAGAGTTAGTAAACGAGCAGACGGGAAGGTTAGGAGAATGTTGTCACACACTCAGAGTGGTTAGGGCATGGAATGTCCTGCCGGGAACCTTGGTTGAGGCTGAATCTATATCAGCTTTCAAAAGGGAATTAGGCGATATCTAAAAAAAAGTGTAAACTACATGAGTATGGGGTTCAGCAGATGGCAGGGTGGGAGATGAAGAGAGTAGGTAAATGGGACTTGAAGGATTTAAAAAAGCCGTAACAGATGGTGAGCTTCTGGGCTGTAAATTTCTATGGTTGGATATAGTTTGCAGATCAATATTCTGAAGGGTTTTGATAAATCAAGAGGGGAAACCTCTGTATTCCCACTGGTCAGTGAGCCAGTAACGAGAGGCATCAATTTAAGATGCATCAAAATAAGGGGGTGGCTGCCAATTCTGGAGCGGCGAGGTTGAAGGTATTCAGAAGACCTGACTTAGTAAAGCCGGTATGTGAGCAGCAATATGAGGAAAACCTGAACCTTACCTCTTCAGATATGGAAGGAAGTGACCGCAGGTCTCCATTCTCATCCTTCTTGTTGATCCGTTCACTAATGAAGTCAACCACCTCTTGGCTACTCATGACATTCCTGAGAAGACAATCCAGATTAGACAGAATTAGGCCCTCTGGTCTCCTGTTCAGAAGGTTGTGGGTGCAATCCCCACAACTTTGAGCTGACACTCCAAAGCTGTGCTATTAAATGCAAGGATTATTATTATCTTCCCAAGGCTCCACATTCCCTGCCAATTTCTACACCCCTCTTCCCTATCATCAATAGTCTCTCTCTCCCCCACCCCCCACTTCATCTCGCCAGGCTTCATCACCATCCACCCTATCCTTTTGGGGGAGAGAGAAAGATGAAGGTGAAGGCATATAATCTCTTTGGGGCTGAACTGCCTGATAATGCAATTCTGGAATTCACTCTATCCCTTATGGTGGTATTTGGAGCTGAGTCCCCGAGGTAGCCAGTGCAGGGCACTGCTGATGACAGACCAGCCAGTCTGGCTCACTGGCAGGATTTGGAGGGCCTGACCAAACATTGTGGGCAAAGATTTTTCCAAATCAGCTCCTGTTAACCCTACAAGCCATAGTCCAAATTTATTAAAGTAATCCAACTATCTTTTCAATCCCATATCCATGGCCATAACCCGCTCTGCCTGCACCCACCGCCGCAACATTGCCCGTCTCCGCCAGTCTCAACGCTGCGGGCCACCAAAACCCTCATACATACATTCATAATCCAGACTCGACTACGCAAACTCCCTGCTTGACATCCTCCCGAACTCCTCCCTCCATAGGCAGCAGATCATCCAGAACTCTGCAGCCCGTGTCCTCTCCCACACCAGGCTCCATGACCCTATCACCCCCCCTCCTCGCCTGACTCCACCGGCTTCCCATCACACAGAGGATACAGTTCAAGATGCTTGTCTTCACCTTCAAAACCCTCCATGACCTTGCTCCCCCCTACCTCTGCGACCTCCTAACACCCTACCAACCACGTCCTCTGCTCAGCGGGCTCCAGCCCGCTTCACATTCCCCGCCTGATTCACCCCACCACTAGTGGGTAGGCCTTCTGTCACTCAGCCCCCACCCTCAGGAACTCCATCCCACAGTCCATCCACCTCTCCCCCTTCAAGTCCCATCTCAAGACTTTCCTCTTCGACTGTGTCTTCGGTGACTCTCCTCCCTCCCTGCCCTCCACATTCTCTGATCCCGACCTCCAGCTCGGGTCCGAACTGATTGTCCAGCGCCTTGGGACCCACAATGTGAAAGGCGCTATACAAATGTAATTTTATTGTTAGCCAAGCAGTGGGAAAGCTTGCCAGGCAGTGCTCTCAATGGTATGTTTGTGTGGTTTTGAAAGGTGCTGTACAGGTTTGAGGTGAAGGGTGTTATACAAGTGGAGGATATAAATGAGTTTACATTGTAGTTACATTGGGTGAGGAGGGGATGTGTAACGTGCACTGAAACAACACTTGTTTTAATGCTTTCCAGCAGCCCATGAAAATTCAATAAGATTCCTTCATTCATGTCAAGTCAGTCAGTGCAGATTACTGACAGTCACACTGAGAATAATGACTGAGTCAAATTCAGGCAAACCTCACTGAATTAACAGGAAATTCCACTGTGCACAAACCTGGGCAACATTCAGATTGTGGTAATTCTACAGAGTGTGATTAAACCCCTCAAACTAAGAACTTCAATTGTACACTAGCTGCACACTCCAGCAGCAGCTCAATATCCCCCCAACAAAAGACTTAAATGAAAATCTCACTCCACTCTTAGAGGCATGTGGAGTAATAAAACTAGCCTAAGGTTTCTCCCAGGAATAAACAAACCCCAGGGACAGGTCCTTTCCACAAATGCACAGCCACTTCTACTGCCAGACTACATTCTCATCATATTACAATTACCATCCCTTGGGTGGTGGGGGGGGGGGGGGCAGGTTGAGAGGAGAGAGAGAAGGCAAATATGCTCTCCTTGAAGCTGAGCTGGCTCCAAGATGATGCGTCTCTCAACAGAATCCATTTCTCAAGATTAGTTGAAGAATGTTGCTGGTGCCACAGAACATTGACTTCATTTATAATCCACCTCAGTCGATAATACCTTTGGACACTTTGCATTACATCAAAGGATCTCTATAAATGTGACGGATATCTTTAAATCCCTCCACAACAGCCGTGGCAACCAGGAAGTGCTGTTTTCTGATAACCAATACCGTTCACGCCATCACTTACCATATACCGTCGCATGCAATCACCATGAACTCATGGTCGTTGTTTAAGGACAGCACTTTGAGATCAGGCAGCGCAGAGATCATCTGCTCTTCCGCAGGAAGGGTCTTATTTCTCTTGTAGAAGTGATCCCCTGAGGGAAGAGCCAAGCTTCAGGTAAGGCATTAAATGTGTTTTGGCCTGACAGGCAACAGGCCCGTGTGTACTTCTATCCAATAAAACGTTACATATTATGATATGAATGTAGCATAAGCACAGGCTTACCCTGGCAGGAAATGAAGCCACCTGTCAGTACTTGAGACAAAATAATCCTTGCATTTGATATAGTGCCTTATGTCATTGAGACGTCTGAAAGCATTACATCACTCTTCTCTGTCATTGCCAGTCTATTGTCACCCTGACACATTTCATGCACTCTCACCACGGAGTCAGAAGGGTGTGGGTTCAAACCCCATGTTCGGATTGGTACTCAGATGTCCTGACATGGGGCTTGAACTCACAACCTCCTATGCTGATACTCCATCAGTGCCTGGGGTATGCTGCATTGTGGCTTTCACCATGGCTCATTTCTGTATTTCTATCATCCTCTGATGGGTCAACAAGAAAAATTTGGCATCAGCCTGACTGACATTTCACAGCATAAGAGATTCTCTCAACTGCATGGCAGCTGTCTATGATCCAGCACGGACTGTAATAGGCCATAATGCAAGCCACTGTTGTCTCACTAAAAGATCATCTCTGTTCTTTACTCTATAACATCATGAGAGAGAAAAAAAACTGGATCACAAAGGAGGGCGAGAAGTAAACTGTGCTCATTAATGTGTATATTGTGCAGAAAGTGATGTCAGTGCAAATTTACAGCCTGGAAGCAATGATCAGCAGCCATGTTTCACGCAGGGACAGGTTTGTGTGTTCTCCCTGTGCTTGCCTGAACTGGCCAACATTCCAGCAGAGCCTCAATCATTACCTATTGCCCGCGAGAGGTTGAGTCCTCCATTGACTCTGCCGTCCAAGGTAACTTTCCCGCCGGCGTTCTTGATCCTCGCCAGTTCCACTTCATCTTCCGGTTTGTGGTCATACGACATGTCGATGGCTTTGCCGTGCTCCGAAACTACACAGCGGGAATCTCCGGCATTGGCCACGATCAGCTGCTTCCCCCGGATAAGGGCCACCACGGCTGTGGTACCACTGTCAGAGCCAGGCTGCAAATTACACACGCTTCAATCATCCAGTTTCAACAACAGCCACAATGAATCGGCCAATTGTTTGCACATACATTCCCACATAAAAATAATTCTTGCATTTGATATAGCGCCTCAAAGGGCTTCACAGAACGTACAGTGAAGTGAATTGACTGTATAATTTGTGGGCAAAATGCAGCAGCCAATTGCGCACAGCAATGCCCCACAACAGCCATAGATTGAGTGACCAAATCATTATTACTTTTTTTAAAAAAAAGGGATTATTACCCCCGGAAAAGTGATCCGCCAATCAACTAATAACCGGGTTCCTACTTACTGCTCAGTAAACAGAGGCATGTGGAGTAAAGGAAATTTGCCTAACGGTTCGGCCTTCCTGGGAATCAAACCCAGGTCCTCTTGCGTGCCAGGCGAGTGCTCTAACCACTTGCCTCCACTGTGATCAAGAGCTAACGCAGGGTGATCAAACCCTGTGTAAGGGGCAGGAGAAACATCCATGGACCTACTGCCCTCTCCTGGAAGCTGCAGACAGGTGCAAACCAACAGCATCCAACAAAACAAACGCCCTCAATATTCAACAAAATTAACTTATATCGTGTACTTCACACAGGATAGCAGGGCACAGCGGCAACACACAATGCTCTCTTAACACCCGCCATTCAAACCACCTTCCAATACTCACTGCCTTAGAAACTGGATGCATAATAGCTTTATAAGGGAACTGGATTGTGTGTCAGCCTGGCTCAGTGTGCCATTCTTGTTTCAGTCCGAAGATTGTATGTTCCAGCCCAACATTGGGGTTTGTAATCACATAATCTAAGGTGACACTAAGGTGTTGCATTGTGAGAGGTGTCCTCCTTTGTATGAGATGTAAAACTCGGGTCCCGTCTGCCTGTTCCGGAGGATGTTAGAGATCCCGCGGTGCTATTTGAAAAGAGAAGTTTCTCTCCCCCGGTGTCGTGGTCAATAATCCCCCAAATAAAATTGGTCACTCACTCCATGGTTGTTTGTGGGACATTCCTGTGCGCAATTGACTGCTGCGTTTCTCCTACAAAATATAGTCAATCAACTTTACAGATATCTTTGAGATGTCTCACCACGTGATAAGAGGCTGGAGGCCATTTCAGGGCCTTGGGACGTCCCCCCCGACGTGAAAGGCGCTCTACAAATGTAATTTTGTTGTTGCGTTGTTGTTATATCAAACACAAGGATTATTATTGTTAAGTATTTGAAAAAAGAAACTATAAAAAGGTAGCAGAGTGGATCCAAATTTCTAGTCTTTCAGATGTAGGACAGACTCGACAAACTAAATGGCCATTGTTAAGCTCTCTGAGAATGAATGCCATACAAAGGACACTGTATAAAAGCCAGCTGCCGTTGCTGCTGGGCTAACACTTAAAACACTTGCTCGGAGTGAAAGGCAAATGCTGGAGAGCTGCCAGAGACAGGAGAAACAGCTTCAAAAGAAAATAGAAATGGGGGGAGAGAAAGAATCTAATAATATCCCTTCCAAATGAAAATTGCCTAGTGCGTCCAAATCTCTCAAAGGGAATTTTGTCTGTAGGTGAAAGGAGAAGGCAATTGGCGCACAGCAAAACAGTCATAAGGGGAATGACCAATTTTATACCTGCAGAATTGTTGGCCAGGACACTGAGAGAAACCCCTTCTCTTTTCAAATAGTGCCACAATCAGCTTAATGTTGGTTTAACGTCTCATAGGAACATTCAGCCCCTCAAGCCTGTTCTGTACCTCAATTCCAATTGTCCACGTTTGCCCCATGTCCCTTGATACCCTGACCTAAAAAATCTATCCACCTCAGTCTTGGAAATATGATTGAATCCTGAATGCACAGCATTTTGGGGGGAAGAGTTCCAGATTTCCACTACCTTTTGTGAAATCTCACCCAATGGACTCTACCAATACAGCACTTCCCCACAGCACTGAAGCACTGGTTGGACTGAACTCGAGTCTCAATGCAGAGCTTTGAACCACAACCTTCCGACTTAAGAACAAGAGTTACAAGTTGACAAATTTGAAATGTGTCTGGCAGTGAATCTCACTCTGGCCCCTGGTCTAACTGTAAGCTCTTCGCTGATTTACCGGGAAGCTGTGCTTACCTCTTCTTTACCGTCCATTCCAGGTAACATAATCTCATCCTCTTCCTCTGCGTCATCACTGTCTTCCTCTTGCTCATCCTCCGCCTCCTCTTCCTCCTCCTCCTCTTCGCCATCAGTGCTGTACTCCTCTTCACCACTGCCCGCCTGCCAAGGAAAGGTTTAACAAACTTACTGCAACAATCATCTTAAAGTGCCTCTGTTGCCATCAGCAGATGTGTACTGTGTACAAGTGTTATCAAAGAATTCCTGGACACAGCAGAAAAACTTTTAATCCTGTTAAAAATAATAATCCTTGCATTCGATAAAGCGCCTTATGTCGTTGAGACATCCCAAAGTGCTTCACAGAAGATTCTGTAAAGTGAATTAACTGCACACTCAGTTGCATACAGCAGTACCCCACAAATAGCTGTGGAGTGAATGACCAAATTTTTTTTTTGAAGGGATTATTGTCCCCCAGAAAGGATCCGCCAATCGATTAATAACCGGGTTAATTAACAGCAACAACAAATGACATTTATATAGCATCTTTTACATCAGGCGGAGACCCAAGGAGGGGTTCCTAATCACTGCTAGGTAAACAGAGACGTGTGGAGTAAGGAATCTTGCCCAAGGTTTCGACCTGCCCTGGAATTGACCCCTGGTCAGCGAGTGTTCTAACCATTACGCTACAGGACTCCATGGGTATAACTGGGTTCAACAGTAGGCAAGAGGAAAAACAGAAGAATTCGTACCTCTTCACTGTCCTCCTCCTCTTCCTCCTCCGCCTCTTCAGATTCATCCTCACTGTCTTCAAAGAACATGGATTTGGCCGCTCGCTGTGACTTGGCGGAGGAGGAACACGAGGGTCCGGCATCCGCTGTGGATGAAGACACAACGGCTTCCTCCGAGGCGCTCTTGTGTTTGGCTGGCTCTTTCCCCGAAGCAGACTCAGCGATGCTGCTGCTCCCACCACCTCCCGCTGAAGCGTCCGCACGTCCACAATCCGAGCTGGAGGAGATGCCAGCCGCCTCCTCTGATTTCCCGTTTTTGCTCTCAGGCTTGTGTGAGCTCGCTTCGGCACTCTCCACCTCGCCATTCACGTCCTTTTCAGTTTTGTTCCGCTCTGTGCCTTTGGGAAGAGGTTTCTTCAGGGCGGAGGCAGGCTTGCACTTGGCGTGCAGCTTCTCACTGTTCAGGTTCTGTCCGTATCGGGTGAGCAGCTCCTCAATGGTCATTGTGGCCTCTTCATGTAAAAGTGCAGCTTCTTCATTGTCAACTAAAGGGGCAAAAAAAAAACCCCAACAAGGCATTAGTGATCTGCTTTGTGACGGTGTGAGGATCCAAAGTAGAACTTGTATGTTTTATACAACAACAAGTGTTGTTGTATTTTTATAGCACCTTATTGCATCAAAACAGCTTCAGACTACTTTTTTTAAAAAAAGTTAGCCAAGTGTCTGATAAATGTGGAAACCCAGAACAGTGCTTAAGAGTCTTCAAACCAAACTGAGAATTTCAGGTATCCCACCTACACATAGAAATTCCAGAGATAGATAGTTGGAATGGATTTGCACTCTCTCCCTGGAGGGACCATCCTGCTTACCTAATTCTGGTGCAGTATTGGTGCATTACTGGTGCAGGTTGGCAAGACCCAAGGCTTGGGGAACCCAAATTGTGCGATGGGGTGACTGCATGAGTCTAAGCATAGCTTGCCATTGAGAGCACTGTCTGGCAAGCTTTCCCGCTGCTTGTCCAGCTAGGCCCATCCTACCCGTTAGGGCTTTGGCTTACAGGGTTAACAGGAGCTGAGTGGATGACTCCCTTCCCCCAGTGACAGAGTACTGTTGGCTCCGACACTGGAATAAACTCTTCTTTTCTGGCAGTGTCATGGTATATTTACTATACCGCACAATTGTTAAAAGTCCTTTGGGTGGAACAAGATTTTTAAAAAGCCTCAATAGTTTAGTCAGATACTCTGCTCATGACTTCGGCTCCAGTCCGGATGTTAAAGAATGGACAAGTACCGTATCTATAAATTATAAATACATTCCACTGAGCTAAAATTATCAAATGACGCGTATTGTTGGGTTGGCAAAGCTGCCACATTACTCTGGGTCTTGGAGAAAGACGCGCGTGCTTAATTGTCAACTGTCGCCCACAGTTCCCAATTTAAAGAGCAATTGCATAGTCGGTTTTAATCATAGTACTCAAACATTTCATTACAATTCCCCCTTTTATAACTATTTAAAGCAACCTAGAGCAATGTACCATTAACTACATTTGAAACATTGGGAGTGTTTAAAACATGGCCCTCTGTAGTCAGATGGTGAAACAGCCCTTAAAACCAGCACAACTGCCTATTGTGCACAATTGGCTGCTATGTTTGGTCCACAAAATATAGTCAATTCACTTTATATTATATTCTCGTCTTGTAGATGTGATAAGGTTCTATATTAAACGCAAGGATTATTATTTTATTATTATTTAATCCCGCGTCAAGCTGGTAGAAATAATTAGCTGCAGTAAAGGGCCAATATTTTGTTTTACAGCTCTATATAAACTAGTCTGCCCTCTCTCAGAAGGCTTATGCTTTAAAAATTGCTGGATTAGGTGTCTCGAGTGTCTCAGATGGTTTTACCCTCACCTCACAGGGATTAAAGTCCAATGTCAAGTCATTGAGCTCGCAGGCTGACCTAGTCCTCCAGTCCTGTGGGTTCTGCTGCATTGTTGACGATGTTGTGCTTCAGCTGAAACAAACCCTGGACATGAAAGATCATGACTTGCCCAGGGTTTGTCTAGTCTGAACCATGACAATGCTAACAATGCTGTGCCAGAACTGCATTGATGCTTTGTTCCCTCAACCATGGCTCCCTGCAGCGAGTTTCACATTATTACCCACTTTGGGTTAAAAAAAAATTCCTCTCAAATTCTCTGTCAGGTTAGCGGCCATCAGACTATCAAGAGATTTTTGCCCCCTGGTTATAGACTCAGCAAAAACAGTAACAGACTATTTACGTTTACCTTATCAAACACTTTTGGTAATTTTAAACGCCTCTATCAGCATCTCCTCTTCAAGGTAAAAAGCCCTAACCTCGCCAATCTTTCTTGAGATCTGTATCGGCTCATCTCTGGCAACAATTTAGTAACAAATCTTGGTCGATGAATTAATAATCTACCATAGAAATTGAACTGATCGCAATGAACGATCACATGAATGATTATTCAAGATTGCAAATCCTCCACTCAGCTCCTGTTAACCTTGCAACCCAAAGCCCCAATGGGTAGCGTGGTCCTAGCTGGACAAGCAGCGTGAAAGCTCGCTAGACAACGGTATCAATGGCAGACTATGTGGTTTTAGCTGGTTAGACTCCAGCAGTTACCTCAACTCACACTCTTGCCAACCTACGCCTAATACTCTTCAGGATTAGATAAGTGGAGTTCTGTAGCTCAGTGGTTAGAGAACTTGCCTCGCAAGCGAGAGACCTGGGTTCGGTTCCCGGCAGGGCGAAATGTTGGGCAAGTTTCCTTACTCCACACGTCTCCGTTTACCTAGCAGGAAGTAGGAACCCGGTTGTTAGTCGATTGGTGGATCACTTTTCCGGGGGTAATAAGTCCCTCAAAAAAATAAATTGGGTCACTTCAATCCACGACTATTTGTGGGACACTCCTGTGCGCAATTGACTGCTGCGTTTTTCCCACAAAATAAGTTAATTCACTTTACAGTATATTCTGTGAAGCGCTTTGAGACGTCTCAAAGTAGTAAGGTGCTATATCAAATGCAAAGATTATTATTATCATCATCAAACAGGATGTGTCCTTCCAGGGAAAGAGTGCACATTCTATTCCAACAATCTACCTCTGGGATTTTCATATGTAGATAAGATGCTTAGAATTCTCAGTTTGGTTTGGATACTCTTCTAAGCATGGTGATGGGTTTCTGCACGTCAAGACACTCGGCTCACGCCTCCCCCGCTCCCAAAATTATTCCAACACCATCACCTCAACCACGAGATTTAAGACCATGTCTAACTCACCGTCATCTTCATCAGCCACTTTCTCACCGTCTTCCTCTTGAGGGCGGCCGGCAATCTGGGCCAGTTCTTTGATGACTATCTCCTCTGTGAGTTTGCTATCGATGGCCAGGAACGCTTCCTCCAGAGCCTTCAAACAAACAATTCATGCAAAATAAATCTTTCAATTAAAGTGTCAGACTACAGAGGAGCCAATTATCCGCACTAAATGGGACCGGATTTAATAAGCAAACCGTGCAGATAATTGGACATTGTGAAGAATACAAATTGGCTATAATGCAAGCTGAATTATTTTTCAGACAGTTATATTGTCACTTTAACAACATATAGCCTTTCTCCCCAATCTCTGAATCTCTCATGGTCTAACTCTCCTCCCTCCTGAATCTCCCAGGGTCTCTCTCTCTCTGAATCTCCCATGGTCTCTCTCTCTCTGAATCTCCCATGGTCTTTCTCTCTCTCTCTGAATCTCCCATGGTCTCTCTCTCTCTGAATCTCCCATGGTCTTTCTCTCTCTCTGAATCTCCCATGGTCTTTCTCTCTCTCTCTCTGAATCTCCCATGGTCTCTCTCTCTCTCTCTGAATCTCCCATGGTCTTTCTCTCTCTCTCTGAATCTCCCATGGTCTTTCTCTCTCTCTCTGAATCTCCCATGGTCTCTCTCTCTCTCTGAATCTCCCATGGTCTCTCTCTCTCTCTGAATCTCCCATGGTCTCTCTCTCTCTCTGAATCTCCCATGGTCTTTCTCTCTCTCTCTGAATCTCCCATGGTCTCTCTCTCTCTGAATCTCCCATGGTCTCTCTCTCTCTCTCTGAATCTCCCATGGTCTCTCTCTCTCTCTCTGAATCTCCCATGGTCTCCCTCTCTCTCTCTCTGAATCTCCCATGGTCTCTCTCTCTCTGAATCTCCCATGGTCTCTTTCTCTCTGAATCTCCCATGGTCTTTCTCTCTCTCTCTGAATCTCCCATGGTCTCTCTCTCTCTCTCTGAATCTCCCATGGTCTCTCTCTCTCTCTGAATCTCCCATGGTCTCTTTCTCTCTGAATCTCCCATGGTCTTTCTCTCTCTCTCTGAATCTCCCATGGTCTTTCTCTCTCTCTCTGAATCTCCCATGGTCTTTCTCTCTCTCTCTGAATCTCCCATGGTCTCTCTCTCTCTCTGAATCTCCCATGGTCTCTCTCTCTCTCTCTCTGAATCTCCCATGGTCTCTCTCTCTCTGAATCTCCCATGGTCTTTCTCTCTCTCTCTCTCTGAAACTCCCATGGTGTCTCTCTCTCTCTCTCTGAATCCCCCATGGTCTCTCTCTCTCCCCACCCTCTCTGAATCTCCCATGGTCTCTCACTCCCTGAACATCTTAGCTCTGTCTCTTTCTAATTCGTTTATTGCCTCTGATAGTCATAGAAAGTTATATAGAATATGAGAAAGACAGAGGGAGAGTCCTTGAGATTTAGAGAGGGTACAAGAAGGGCACATAATTTCAAAATTGAAACTGTTCAATGGATTATTTTAAATTAAAGAGTTAAACTAGATAATATTTCTTCACAACTAAGGGTTGTGGGAAAACAGGACTCTAGAGGAAGAATAGGTTGTTTAAAAACTGATAGATCCTTGGGAAATAATGTACTAATGAGACCTGAAGAAAAGGTGGCCCTCAAACAGCCTTGCATTGATGGCTTTCTCCAGTTCTTTGTTTCGCCCACAAAATATATAGTCAATCCACTTTACAGTTTATTCTGAAGCGCTTAGAGATGTCTAGCAATAAGGCGCTATATCAAATGCAAGGATTATTATTATTTTAATAGCCTTTTAATTGTTGGGAAGGGGAAAAAATAAGGGATGATTATTTTCCAGTTAAAAAGTTTGAAGTATTTCTTCTTAAACTATGCAACAGTACAAGGTTAGTTTCCAGACCCAAATCAATAAATGCCTTTTTTTAAAAAAATGTCTTTGCAATGGGAATTGCAGTGAAATGCTGCTTCTATTCTCTCCATATCAATTGACCCTAAACCTCAGAAAAAACAGCCTCTCGACTGAATCAGTGTAGTATTTATCACTCTCTACACCACACTGCCTCAGTGATGTGAGTTTGCCAATTTACACCTACACATTGCTCCAGCGCCTTGGGACGTCCTCCCGACATGAAAGGCGCTCTATAAATGCAATCTTGGTGTTGTTGTTTTAGGATAACCTCAGAGCTCTTTATAGAGACAGTGTGTATTACTGAGCAAGGTAAAAGAGGGAAAGAGAGGAGGGACTGGAGGAAGGTGAACCAAAGGCAAGGTCGAAGAAGCAGTTTTTGAAAGCAGAGAGGGAGTTCCAGAGAGTGGGGGCATAGCAGCTAAAAGCTTGGCTGTGGAGGTATGTGCAGGTAAGTTTGTGAAACAGGGGAGAAAGCAGGAGACTGGGATCGGAGAAGCCTTCAGAGGTAGTGTAGCAAGGAGAATGGTGGATTGAATGAATGAGGGTCTTGCAAGTCAATCTACTTGGGACACAGAGCCCGTGAAGCCTGGTGAGGATTGGGAAGGGTGGGGCGGAGTGGGGGGCGCGGAGGGAGAGCAGGGGGTGATTGGCACATAATCTAGGGCAGGTGAGAATTCGGGCCACAGAGTTCAGGTGAGGATTTAGACTGAAAAGCTCTGGATGCACTGAAGCGTGTTGTGGTGGAGCTAGACAGGTAAGAAGAGCATGTGAGAACTCAAATCGAGAGTTGACACAGCCATTAAGACATAGCAAAGGCATTTGGCTCATCAAATTGACTGGATTGAAACCCAGGCACAAAACGACACTGAGCAACCAAATCTGCCCTGGACTGACCATCTCAATTGGAATGACGGCCAAAGCAAAAATCCATGATCTTCATCCCATCCCCCCTCCCATTATCAGGACTATTGTGCGCAATTGGCTGCCGCGTTCGCCCACAAATATACAGTCAATTCACTTTACAGTGTGTTCTGTGAAGCGCTTTGGGACGTCCTCCCGACGTGAAAAGCGCTATATCAAATGCAAGGATTATTATTATTATTGGGAGGAAAATAATTAAGAGAAAGTGATAACTATAAACATATGCGTCCAGAAACCTCCAAGTCCCACGGTGACTTTAGCAATTCCTGTCTGAACTCCACGATAGGCACTCTTCCGCTTATGGTTTGTGATTCTAATACAACAGAATATTAATAGTACCTTCTGCAATTTTCCGTTCTTATATGCTTGCTGTGCCTTGATAACTTCAGGCAGGTATTTTGCACAGTATAGTGCCACCTCTTCACCTGGAAGAAACAATGGATTTAGGACTCCTGCTTTATTTTATACAATTTACTTAGAAGTGCGAGCTGTGTAATTGAAATATACCCATACACTTCTAAGTGCCTTTCACCCACTTAACCTGTCCACTCAGCAGGCTCCGGCCTGCTGCATGTCCCCGGCCCAGCCCACTCTCGGCAGTCTTGCCTTCAGCCCCCACCCTCTGAAACACCATCCCACATTCCCTTCACCTCGCTCCCTCCCTTGCCTCCTTCAAGACATGCCTCAAGATCCTCCTCTTCGACTGTGCCTTCGGCCAACCTCCTACACTCTCTGCCCTCCACACTCCCAGCCCCCACTTGGGTCCTTATTTCTGACGGTTCAGCGCCTTGGGACGTCCTCCCGACGTTAAAGGCACTTTACAAATGTAAAATTGTAATTTGGAGTGGTGGGCAGAGTGGGTTAGGTACAATGGGAGGGAGGTAATCGAAGTTGCAATCAAAGACATATGTTTTAGATTGAATTTGAAAGCAAAATAGTACAGTGCAGGGCAAGGGAGAGTTCCAGAAGGCCAAGGTGGCTTTAGGAGCATCTCATGTAGAGTGATCCACAAAATTACACAGGAGGTAACAGTCAGAAACAGCCCTTTCAATGCTAGGATTGAATGACCTATCCAACTGGTGCTTATACTCCACGAGCTTCCGTATTGAGGGCTAAGGATACACTAGTTGGCATCAGTTGGGATGATTTATTAACAGTATCAGTTACTCCATTCTATAACGTTATACCATTCACCTGAAACTAAACCAGCCCAGAAACAGCACAAACATTCATGTGAATCCTACTATTTCTCAACTAGTAACAAGGAGACAGAATAGGATTTATCACCTAACATTTTGAGTGTTTCAAAGCTGTGTTGAAGAAAGAGCTTCACACAAACAATAGGGAACACTGAGCAGGTAGATGAGGAAGGATAATTTATGTGTGTGATTAAATACACGGTGAAAAAATACTCAAAAAAGGAAGGGAGTTTCTCCCCCCCTCGTATCGGTCGACAATTCCCCAATTGGTCACTCGTTTCATGACTGTTTGTGGGATATTGCTGTGCGAAAACTGGCTCCACGTCAATGCACACCTTGAAGAACAGTCAGCCAGGACCTTGGTTTAATGCCTAATTTGAAGAGCAACATCTGTCAATGCAACAGCTTCCCAGTACTTAGTTCTTTCATCCCTATTGGCCGAGTAAACTTTACCACTGTAAGTTATCAGAGAATAAAATATTGTGTGAATAAGACCCGACCTACTATCCCCCCACCTACCTGCCCGTACCCTCCGTTCCTCTGGCTCCGGTCTGCTCCACATTCCCCGCCCCAACCGCCCTACCATCGGTGGCCTTCAGCCTCTCAGCCCCGAGGCTCTGGAACTCCATCCCACAGTGCCTTCGCCGCTTCCCCCCTTTCCTCCTTCAAGGCCGGTCTCAAGACCTTTCTCTTTGACCGTGCCTTCAGCTCCTCTCTCGACTCTCTACCCCGTCCTCGCTCCCTCCCTTCCCTCCCACTGACCATTTCCCCCTTGCTCGGGTCCTGACCCAACTGTACAGCGTCTTGGGATGTCCTCCCGACGTGAAAGGCGCTCAATAAATGGAATCTTGTTGTTGTTGATTCAAGCATACTGAGACGTTTGCCTATGTAAAGGGTTCCATACAAATGAAGGTTATAATAATCCTTGCATTTGGTATAGCGCCTTTCATATTGGGAGGATGCCTCAAAGCACTTCCCAGAATTTTAATGTAAAGCGCTTGACCCACAAACAGCCAAGAACTAAATGACCAATTTTATTCGGAGGACTGTTGGCCAGGACACCAGCAAACACGCTTTGAAGAGTACCAGAGGATCTTTAACGTCCACTTGAACAGGCCTCTGTTTAATAACTCATCTGAAGAACAGTAGCTCCAACAATGCAGCACACACCCCCAGCACTGCATTGGAGCATTAGCTTCGACTATACAAGTCCCGACGTGGACCACAACTTTCTGACTCAGAGGCAGGAGTGCGACCAGCTGAGCCAGGCAAGTTGTTGATTGATACTGCTTACCTCCATGTCCATCATAAACTGCAAACATGGACGTTTCGCTATCCAATTCAGGGATACAGTTGTGGGCATCCTGAAAGAAAGAATTCAGAAATCATTTCAACCAATTCAAGTATATTATTTGTGATTTCATTTATAACAAGGTGAAAAACACACACAAGACATCTGGCAATTGTTACTGAAATTTAATGATCATCTTACCCTTCAGCAATGAGCAGTCATGTTTTAATTACAAGGCAATGCTCTAGAGTGAAATCCTACAATTCTCATCGAGTGGTGTGGAATGGCAAGGAGGAAGAAAAGGAAGGGTAACAATAAATTTCACAAGATGGGTTTGGTTGAAGAAAGCTCTTCAGCCCTTTCAATCTCATCCTTCCAGACTAGACACCCTTCTTTCTTCCCTTAACCACCTTAAGAGTCTAGCACTAATCCTGGCCACCAGTTTCAACCCGCACTTGGATAACGAAACATAAGTTATAGAAATTCTAGAATAAGAATAAAAGAAATTCTAAATTTCTAGAGCCCATCACAAGAGATCAAATTAGCAAACACTTGCGTGAATAGACTAAGTTAATTGATTTCTAAAAGCAAGGAAATAAGATAAAGTACAGGTAACAAGAGTAGTTGATCGGTAATGCATGTGGATTTCCTGTTTAAGAGGCTTATTGCAAAGTTTAAGGATTATGAATTGCATTAAACTAGCAGGAAGAAAATAATAATAATCCTTACATTGCTTATTGTGCCTGTCACAAGCACTACACAAGAAGTAAATTATCAATTTTAGTGAATGGGGGAATGTTAGGCAGGACACCAGGAGAAGCAGGAGTACTGCATTTATGGGAAAAGGGAATAGACTGTGCAGAGGGTACAAGAGTAATTCACTTGGATGATAATAATAATCCTTGAATTTGACATAGCGCCTTATCACGACTTTGATATGTTTCAAAGGGATAAAAGTTTGCAGTTAGGTGGAGACTTGAAAAGGCGGGAGTGTTTTCACCGAGGAGCAATAGAATATTAAGAGATCTAATGGTGACTTTGAGTGTTATGACTGATTATGATGAGGCAAATAGAAAGAGATCATATTCACTAGTCAATGAGTAACAAGTTGGCTTAAATTGAGTGATATCAGAAGGCAATAGCCTTTCACAACTGTATTTTGCAGGCAAACGCAACAACTAATTTGCGCACAGGAATGTGCCACAAACAGCCATGAAGTGAATGATCAATTTTATCTGGAGCAATGTTGGCAGGTCACCAGCAGAAACTCACTTCTCTTTTCAAACAGTTAAGACGGTTTAGTCTTATCTGAAGTAATGGCATATTCGACAATGCAAGGCCACCCCCTGTACTGCCATGGGAGTGTCAGCCAAGAATGTAAGTTTAAAGTCCCAACGTAAAGTCCGTTCCACTGGCTCTGGTCTGCTCCACATCCCCCGCCCCAACCGCCCTACCATCGGTGGTCGGGCCTTCAGCCTCTCAGCCCCGAGGCTCTGGAACTCCATCCGCCAGTGCCTTCGCCGCTTCCTCCCTTTCCTCCTTCAAGGCCGGTCTCAAAACCTTTCTCTTTGACCGTACCTTCAGCTCCCCTCTCGACTCTCTACCCCCTCCTCGCTCCCTCCCTTCCCTCCCCTCACCCTGACCATTTCCCCCTCCTTGCTCCCTCCCTTCCCTCACCCTGACTATTTCCCCCCTCCTCGCTCCCTCCCCTCACCCTGACCATTTCCCCCTCCTCGGGTCATGACCCAACTGTGCAGCGCCTTGGGACGTCCTCCTGACGTGAAAGGCGCTTTATAAATGGAATCTTGTTGTTGTTGTTGTAGGGCAAGCTTGAAACATTAAAGCGTATGCACTCGCAGCTCAATTTACCATTCTCCTTCTGGGTACCTCAAGCAACTTAAAATGTTCTCTCCTTGGCTCCAATCACAAAATTTGAGACTCTGCTTTTGATTTTGGGACCTGTAGTCTGTTCTCATCTCTCACCTCACATTCAAATAGACATTATGAATGTGCAATAAAAATTTCCAGCATTTTGCTTTGTGTATATGTGTAATTAATAAGAACATAGGAAATGCTAGTCGAAAAAAGATCAAGGTCCATCTAGTTTGCCTTCCAACTCCCTGGCGGCTGCATGCACACATGTCCCGAACTACCTATGTACTCTATCCAATAATGTTATTTCTTATCTGTGTTTGAAAGAATCAACACTTCCTGCTTCAACCAAGGGAGCATGATCCACAGGTTCACTATTTGCTCACTGAATTAGTGTTTGCGTAGATTTGTTCTGAATTTACCCCCTTCAATCGCAGGCCGTGACCTCTGGTTCTACGATTTTGGACAAGGTGAAACAGCCCGCCATGATCTATATTGTTTTACCCCTTTAGAATCTAAAAGACAGCAATCACGTCACCTCTCAATCTTCTCTTTTCCAGTGTGAACATACCCAATTTTCTGAGTCACTCCTCATTCCATTCTCTCAATCACTTTAGTTGCCCTCCTCTGTATCTTCGACTTCTGCATTATCCATTTTGTAGTGCGGTGACCAGAACTGTACACAGTCTCTAACTCTCACCAATGATTTATACAGTGGCAGGATTATCCCACTATCTCGGCTGCTATTGATCTCTTGATACATCCCAACAACTGGTTTGCTTTACTTATTGCCACAGAGTGTTGCTGGGAGAGCTTCAATTTATTGTCTACCAGGACGCCCCCCAGGACCTTTTCATTTTCCATACATATTATTTTCCTTCTGTTCAAATAATAGTCACTTCCAGGATTGTTTGTACTCATGCAAAGTATATTTCTCCACATTGAATTTCATCTGCCACCGACCTGCCCATTTACCAAAGTATGTTCAAATCCTCCTGTAACCTATCTTGTTCAACCTTGATTAGCTTGGTGTCATCTGCAAATTTAGCCACTATGCTTTGCGACTCCAGATCATTTATAAAAACATTTCCCAGTCTGATGAAATTCCCTCTACTACCACCCTCTGGGCTCTTCTGGTCAACCAGTTGCATATTCATTGCACGCAATAATAACCCTTGCATTTTATATAGTGCCTTATCACGTCATTGAGATGTCTCACAGTGCTTCACAGAATATACTGTAAAATGAATTGACTGTGGGCGAAATGCAGAAAGCCAATTGCACACATCAATGTCCCACAAACATTCCTGGATTGAATGAATTTTTTTTTTTTTTGAAGGGATCAGCTAATCGACTAATAACCGGATTCCTTCTTACTGCGAGGTAAACAGAGAGAGGCGTGTGGATTAAGGAAACTTGCCTTAAGTTTTGCCCTGTCTGGGAATCGAACCCGCGTTCTCTCACTTGCGAGGCGAGTGCTGCAACCATTGCACTAAACATGATAGTCCTGTATAGCAAAATACATTCCTTTTTGGGGATAAAATTAAAATTAGGTACAGACTTTGTAAGATTCGAGTCCTGAACTTAACCCACTTCTGGACAATCTGGGCATTATTTTTTAGGTTTTTATTTTGTTACTGAAAAATAAATTTTAAAGATTTATTTGTTTTTCTTATGAGATTCTGAGACAACTGAATAAACATTAGTCATCACATCCAGGCCCCCCAATCCAACCACTTCAGCAGTGCTTCTCAAATCACTCACAACGTGCAAAAGGCCGAGCTATCTTAAAACAGTTATGGCTAACAAATTGTAAAAGCTTCAAATATAGAGCCAACATGGCTTAAATATGAAAGTCAGTTGTTCCGATTAACAAAGTGTACTTTCCAATGCAAAAATCCCATTCCAGATCTTATCCTGTAGTCTGGAGATGAAAAACTAATCTTCAAGATGATGTCAATGAAAGTTTTCGGTTAAATGCACATCTTAAACAGTTTGTCTTCTCTCAACACTATGACAGAAGCTGTGGATTCTTTTAAAAAGGAAACAAATATTCCTGAAAGAGGAATATTGTAATAATAATCCTTGCATGCGATATCGCGTCTTATCACATCATCGAGGCATCCCAAAGACCTTCACAGGATACACTGTGAATTGGTGCGGTTGCGTTTGTTGCGCGAGTGAACGGAGAAGGCAATTTGCACCCAACAACAACTTGGATTTATATAGTGCCCTCCACGCCAGATGGCGTCTCAGAGGACTTCACAGAACAGATCCCGGGGCCAAGCCAGCAATTTCCCACAAGTGGCCATGGAGTGAGCGACCAATTTCATCAGGGAGGTTGTTAGCCAAGTTATTAAAGGTTAAGAAGTGACAAGGAGAAAGGGTTTAAGATTGGAGAAAACACCAGAGCAAATGTAATGAGCCAAATGACCCATTTCTGTGCAGTAACATTCTCTGAACAAGGCTTGTTAAGAAACTGCTGAAGATTGTTAGCAAATCTTCCCATCTTCACCATTGGGATTGTAAGGAGAATATTTTACTCTGGGAAAACTGAGAACTACACTAGTCTTACAGAACTCGTCTAGTTTGGGATTCCACAGTGAATGATGATGCATTGGCTGATGAGATGTCTGACTTCACACTTAAAAACATTGATTTTAGTCAAGAAAAATATTGTCCACAAAATATAGTCAATTCACTTTACAGTACATTCTGTGAAGCACTTTGAGAAAGTCTCGAAGATGTGAAAAGGTACTATATCAGATGCAAGGATTATTATAAGAGAGATTCAACTCCCCAACATCTGATTTCACCTGTCAAAGCAAACAAAATGTAACTATCCTTTTTACCGGAATATAATACACAAAGCCTGAGCAAGAGCGGAATAACCTTTGCTTTTAGAAAAAAATCTTTCTATGTCCCTGGCTCGGAGAGCAGATTCAACGCCTTCTGTCTCCACGTTTACCTACCCCCCTTTCACCAGATTCGTATCCAGCCACAATGTAAACGGGGGAAGTGTGGTTGCAAAGGTGCTGATGATGGTGAATGAGTGGAAAACAAACACCCCTCATGGCCCTCATTCAGACAGACGAGCCTATTCAGCAGGATGTTCCCTCCTTTTTCTCGTAAAACACTGGTGAAAAAAAAGTGGGAAATTCTTTAATTTAGGGAGTTTCTTCTGAAATCCTGGCCAACAAATCCCCAAGATTGAAGAAAAAATGATCACTTTCTTCATGGCTTTCTGCAGAACATTGCTGTGTGCAAATTTGCAGCCAAATTTCAATCCAAATCTCACTAGAAATGCAGCCCTGTCGCAATTTGACAGAAAAACTGAAGTGCATTGTGATGTTTCAACCTGATAAGGCGCTATGTAAAAGGCAGCGATTCTTGTATTGATTAAATAGCCTCTAGTTGGTTAACTACTCAAAGCACTTTACAAAAACATGGATCATTGAGCGGGGCTGAAGAAAAGGTTGTTTCAGGATCATGGTTAACAGGTTTTAAGCAGGTTTTCAAGGTGGGAAAACAGGTGTAAGGTGACGAGATTTGAGGATAGAGTTCCAGAGAAAAGGGACATTGTTCGTGAAAGCCACCAGAGAACGTGGAGGACCTGAGTAATATAACAGACGAAAAATAATTTGCACTAATATAGTACCTTTCCCTACGGAGACAATATCTCAACAAGCTTTACAAAGACAGAGGGGAGATGGGGCAATTAGACCAAAGACCTGTTTCATTTCTGAATGCAATGCTTGTTCCAGTATCATACAAATCCTTTCTTGCGCAGCTTTAGATCGCTTTATGCAGAGTTGATTGGATTTCACACAAACCTTCCATTGGGCTGTGGTTCCACACTGCTTGAATGTTTACCTCGATTGACAGGCTCAAAATTGCTGCAATTACTTTTCCTCAATTTCTGCAATTTAGGCTACAGAAAAGATTACACCAAAAACTGCACAACACAAAAAATAGTTTCTCACCTCAATGCAATTTTTCTCTGAAAGGCAACACGTGCCCAACCTAACATCAGCTCAACTTGGACAATGAGAAAATGTCATAAAGTCTATAACTGGGGATATAATAATAACAATCCTTGCATTTGATATAGCGCTTTTCACGTCTGTAAAGTGAATTGACTGTATATTTGTGGGCGAACGCGGCAGCCAATTGCGCACAGCAATGTCCCACAAACAGTCGTAGATTGAAAATGACCAATTCATTTTTGGTTTTGGAGGGATTATTATTAGACTCTGTGTGGAGTAAGGAAACTTGCCCAAGGTTTCTCCCTGCCTGGAATGAACTCAGGTCACTCACTTGCAAAGGGATATTGCATGGGACAGGAGCTTTTTGGGATCAGGTATTTTGAAAGGCTTTGAATGAAGAGATCAGACGTTTGCCCAGTGTGTACCTCCAAACCACGGGAGAGTCGCCCTCTGGTGCTCACAGAGCAGCACAAGCACATGCCCCAAGAGCACATTTTCTGGTGGCGCTATAAGATGCGACAATGTGAGGGCGAGAGCTGAAACTAGTGCAAATGAAAATACCTTTTACTTTAAAAAATTAAAGCGTCACAAAAACATATTGTTTCGTCAAGCATCTTTACAACTACAGTTTCAGACAGTGGTAGACCATTGGTCCATCTCGCTCAGCCACCCAGTGGTTAGCAATTTTGAATAGTGCATTAGACACAGCGTCACTGCTGTACAATGGTCAATATGATGCGTGTGTCTCAGAGGGACATCAGCAGCAATGCAACTAACATGATAAATATTTGTGAAAAAAAAGTTATGTATGACACAGTTACTCTACTTCAATCCCTCCGCTTAACTCCACTGTTAAGGGCTCTGAGACACGACCCCACGTGGAGGGCGCTATATAAGTGCAAGTTGTTTTTCAAAAAAGCTTTGTAAACTCGGAACTGATACTTGTCAAAAGACGTGGTCGCATGGAATACTTTTCACAGTCAAAATATTTTATAATCCTTGCATTTGATAATAGGGTCTATTAGTGTCAAAATGTCTCAAGATACTTCATATATTTTTGCATCCAATAAGCAGATGGACTCTAGGTTCAGTTTTTCGTACAAAGATTTCTACGGGTTGTTTCTGACAGTTTACTACAGACATGGCTCTACTCATACAACTCATACTTATTAGGTTGACCTGTACTTATCATCCCATTATAAAAATACCATATACATTCCATGAACTTAATGTAAATCTGTCAGTAATGAAATGCTAGCCATGGAGCCATGGTAACTACATTTGTTATTAGCGTGTGTATATTATACCAACTATCTTTTGGTTAGGTGTCTTGCTTTGATTAAGAGCATCCAAACAAGAGTTCCATATATGCCACCTAAATTATCTTTTGCCTTGAATGGAATGTACTCTCTCCTCATGGACTCAAACTGCTTACCAAATTCTGAAGGATATTAAGTGAAGTTTGACAAAAGCCCAGGCTTAGGGATCCCGGATTGTGCTGTAAAGTTTAAATTAACTGGTTTAACTAGCAAAACACATATAGCTTGCCATTGTGAGCATTGTCTGGCAAGTCTCTTGCTGCCTGTCTAGCTGGCACCACCCAACCCATAAAGGTTTTGCTTGCAAGGTAAAATCCCAGTGAATGCCAGAGGATTGACTTGATTACTATATCCTGTTCTGCTAAGCACATCAACCCAGCTCCAAGGAGCTCTGCTTTACCTTCACAAGAATACAATATCACACCAACTAGACGGCATAGGATATACACTTTAACCCCGGCTGGCCAGACCAATAGGGAGGAAGATTCAGTCCAGCCAGAATTTCCAGCTAAGTATACTCGCAAAGCCTATCCTGTCATTTCTGAAAAGTGCCGATCCCAGCATTGTAATGGCTTGAATCCCAGGGAACAGAAGATAGCGAATAAGCCTTTTCTTCTTGCAGAATTCAAACAATCTAAAAGAGTCAATGTTGGTATGCCTGGTTACCTTAAAAGCCAGCAAGGAAGGTGTTGGACCACGAAAGCAAGATCTGAATTAGGATACTTGCAGAACTCAAATAGACCTTGACTTAGTACCAGAATCCTCGCATTCGTGTTCAAATCCATTCACTTTCTGGCACCTCTCTAACTCCTCACTCCCCAATCTACCATCTGAGGTGTCCGCTGAACTGGCACCGGCATCCTGCTGGTCCCTCACAACCTCCGCTCCACCATTGGAGGCCGCGCTGCAAATTTCAGCCACTATCCCCAAAACTTTTGAACACATTTCCTCAATCCCTCCGCCTTGCCCCCTGTTTTACATAATTTACTCTTAAAATAAACCTCCCAGCAATGGTCAGTCGCAATTATCAAAACCTCAAAGTCTCGGCCTTTTTAAGAGATTCTTGCACCATCTTCAAATTCCAGTCATTCTCTGTACCAAAGAAAACCATAAATAGAACTTCACTTAATGGTACAATGACACCTGCAATTAAATTCATGGCAATTACCCAGTATGGACCGGATAATTCATCCAAAATACTCACTGCACGAGTCCATATACCATTTAATCTCAGACTTGCGCATTTATGAGACGAACTGAAACCATTGTGCAATTCTCTGACACGTATCCACTCATTCACCTCCATCGTGCTGAAACTACAGGGTAGCAATAGCATTACCGTTAGTAACTCTGTGCACTCTGGGCTCCGCGAGAGAAAACCGACAGACAAGCAAGCGTGAGGCAGACGGGCGTGTGGAACTGCGAAGCTGGGGGCCATTCTCTGCCAAACATTTACATCCGATTCTTCAGCTTCCAAATAATCTCTCGATACTTTGCGTGCGGCACCTCCGCCCTACCGAGCCGCACCAAAGGGAGTTGTGCAGACCAACAGTTGGGTGTTGGCACAGACCCCGCGGACGTCCTGCGCGAAAATCTCACCCGCAAAATAACAGTCGAGGCGCGTTACGGCGTAGCCCGCGAAGCGCTTTGAGACGTCCCTACTGTGAAACATGATAAAGCGCTGTATCAAATGCAACAACTTGCGAGGATTATTACAATCTTTTGTGCTCAAGAGCCCCCCCACCACCTCCACCAAATTCTCCCTAACCCCCCCCCCCACCCCCACCCAGCGCCATGCACTCCCCACTCACCTCCATGGACACCCTCCAGCCCTGCATGGCCGAGACCCCGAAGCTGAGCTGCTCGGTGCATTGCTCGCTCGAGTTCTTCACCGTGTTGGGCTGCGACAGGTAGGCACCCATTGCTGTGGCTCTCTTCGGGGGGGATCGGGAGGGAGGGGTGAGGGGGTGAGAGGGGGTGAGTTGGAAGAGATCGCAACCCCAACTGAACGAGAGAGTGATAATGCGGCACCGAACGAGAGAGAAAGAGAGAGAGAGAGAGAGAATTCGACGCGAAACTGGAGGGAGAGAGAGAGAGGCGCCTCTCAACCGCACAACCACAGCCACTGAGACACGAGGCCGCGGAGGGACATGAGGAGCGGGAGAGGGGGGGGGAGGGGATCACCACAGCAACCGGCGGCGGCCCCCGGGCTCAGCGCTCGCTCTCCCTCTCTCTCTCTCCGCCTCACGAGCTCCTCAGATCAGCACAGGGTCCCGGGGCCCAGCGAGTCCGGGGGGCGGGAGAGCGAGCCCGTGTGGCCGGGACCGGGGCAACGGGGCCACGAGGAGCGGGAGATGCTCGCGGTTCGGGGCCGGATGTCCGGGAGGAGGGGGGGGGGGAGGCGGCAGCTCGGGCCGCGGCCCCGGGAGCAGCGCGAGCGGCGGCGGCGGCGTTAAACCCAACGCTCCTCAGGGTCTCCCTCCCGGCGGCGGCGGCGGCTCCTCACACACTCCAGTCCACTCCCTCGTGTGTGTGTGTGTGTGTGAGAGTGAGTGTCTCTCTCTTTTTTTCCCCCTTCACTCACTCTCACTCTCTCTCTCTCACACTCACACACTCACTCTCTCTCTCCCTCTCTCTTTCCCGCCGTTCAAACAATCATACGGAATAAACGGGCGGAGAGCCCCACGCGCGCCGCGGGGACAGCGAGAGAAAGAGACCGCGGGGGTCACGTGAGGAGGCTTTGCCCCAAAATGGCGGCGGCGGCGGCGGGAGGAGGCGGAGGAGGCCGCCGACACCACAAGCGGTCCCGGCGCGACGTCACTTCCGCCTGCGCTCTCGGTCGGCGGGGGAGGGAGCGGCGGCGTGACGTTGCGTTACGTCGCGTCGCGGCTCTGCACGTCACAATTCAAAACGAGCGGGAAATTTGATTTGGTCCCTTTTAATAATAATAATAATAATAATAATAATCCTTGCATTTGATATAGCGCTTTTCACGTCGGGAGGACGTCCCAAAGCGCTTCACAACGCACTGTAAAGTGAATTGACTGTATATTTGTGGGCGAACGCGGCAGCCAATTGCGCACAGCAATGTCCCACAAACAGTCGTAGATTGAAAGTGACCAATTTATTATTGTTTTGTAGGGATTATTATTGGGCTCTGTGTGGAGTAAGGAAACTTGCCCAAGGTTTCGCCCTCTGCCTGGAATTGAACTCAGGTCTCTCACTTGCAAAGCGAGTGCTCTAACCACTGAGCGACAGGACTCCATCTTAAGAACTATTAAGAACTATTAAGCGCTCTGAGACGTGGAGGGCGCTATATAAATCCAAGTTGTTGTTGTTTAACGGTCAGCAGCAATGTTTAATAGCTGATGGCTTTGCTTTTGAAATCAGGTTCTCCCCCCTCACGAAAACTCCCGCCCCAATTGGGCTGACGTTTGTTTTATTGCCTGTGTAATTTTTGGGGGCTGTTTTTTTGTCGTCGGTGCGGGTACAACTGGCGGCCGAGATTCCTGTGGAAACCTTGGCTGAAGTAACGGAACCTGTTGGACGCCAAGTATATCCTGTGAAGCGCTTTCAGGCGTCTCCAAGACACGATAAGGTGCTATATCAATTGCAAGGATTATTATCATTATTGTATCGCATTTTGTGGAGTCCTGTAGCGTAGTGGTGGGAGCACTCACCTCGCAAGCGAGAGCACCCAGGTTCAATTCCCGGGCAGGACGAAACCTTAGGCAAGTTTCCTTACTCCACACGCCTCTGTTTACCGAGCAATTTGGTTGTTAGTTGATTGGCGGATCACTTTCCGGGGTTAATAATCCTTCAAAAAGAATTGGTCACTCAATTTACGACTGTTTGTGAGACGCGACTGCTGCTGCGTTTCGCCCACAAAAAATACAGTCAATTCACTTTACAATATAAACATAGAAGTCGCTGGGAACATGCAGCAGGTCAGGCAGCATCCATGGAGAGAGAAAAATTAGTTAACCTTTCATTCACTTTACAATATATTCTGTGAAGCGTTTTGAGATGTTTCAATGATGCGATAAGGTTGCACAGACTTGAGGGGCTGAATGGCCTTCTTCTGTTCCTATATTCAAGGCATGTCACCGATACATGGAAATCCTCATTTATGGAATAAAATGTGCACTCTCCATGGGATACACTCTGCTTACCTCATTCCAGGGAGGTTCCTGCAGTTTAACCCACGAGAACAATAACAACAAATCATATTTGTATAGCACCTTTCACATCAGCAGGACATCCCAAGGCACTGGACAGTCAGGGATCCACACCCAAGCTGGTGGTTGGGATCAGGAGGGTGGAGAGTGGTGAGAGTAGGTGTAGGATGGTGACTGTAGGCACTGTTGAAGCGAAGTGTCTTGATGGAAGCAAGGGAGGGGGCAAGGCGGAGGGATTGTGGAATGGAGTTCCGAAGGGAGGAAGCAGAGAGGCTGAAGGCCTGCCTGGCAATAGTGGGGTGGGCAAGGCGGGGGGTGTGAAGCAGGTCAGAGCCCGCTGGAGGGAGAGGACAAGTTGGTAGGGATTTAGGAGGTCACAGAGGTAGGAGGAACATGGCCATTAAGGAGTTCTGGATGATCTACAGCCTGTAGAAAGAGTTGGGGAAGCTGACAAGTAAGGAGTTTACGTGCTCGAGCATGAATGTGATGAATGCATGGATGAAGGTCTCGGCAGCCTGTAATGAGAGAAGGTGGCAGAAGCGGACAATGTGGAGGTGGGGAAAGGCGGAGTGGATCATGGCAGGAGTGTGGGGGATGAAGCACAGTTGAGGGTTCAACAGGACGTCAAGGTTCCATATTGGCTCCGTAAGGTGTAGAGGGCATTCGTGAAGAGTGATGCTATCAGTGTCCAAGGTATGGAGGCGCTGATGGGAACCAAGCATGAGGGCCTCAGTCTTGTTAACATTTAACTGGAGGAAGTTCTCCCAGGACTTGATGAGAGAACCACTCTATCTATTAGGCTATCTAATTTGTGCACAGATTGGCCGCCATATTTGCCTAATACTTTTGTTTTGGTCGGCCAGGTCTAACTCATATTTAAGATTATTTAAACCAGACGGAATTCAAGGCATACCACCTATACATGAACATTGCAGTGCTCTATTCGTTGCCATGTTCACCTACAAAATATAGTCACTACCCAACAACAACAAACAACAAAATTACATTTGTAGAGGGCCTTTCATGTCAGGAGGATGTCCCAAAGCCTGAACAGTCAGCGGTCAGGACCTGAGCATGGGGAAGGGGGTAGGGTAGGGGTGAGGGAAGACAGAGAGGTGGGAGGGCGAGTGAAGGCACGGTCGAAGAGGAGGGTCTTGAGATCGGCCTTGAAGGAGGCAAGGGAGGAAGCGAGGCGCAGGGACTGTGGGATGGAGTGCCAGAGTGTGGGGGCAGAGAGGCTGAAAGCTTGGCCACCGATGGTCGGGCGGGTCGGGCGCCCTGCCCGCTCCCTCCGCTCAGCGGGCTCTGGCCTGCTCTGTGTCCCCCACTCTGCCTGACCCATCATTAGCAGTCAGGCCTTCAACAACAATAACTTGCATTTATACAGCGACCTTCAAGCGGGGTAGGGTCCCTCCAGCCTCTGCCCCCACCCTTTGGGACTCCATCCCACAGACCCTCCATCTCGCCCGCTCTCTTGCTTCCTTCGAGGCTCTCCTTATTTATCCGTACCATTGCCACCGTTCCTTTGGCAGTTACCCTGAGTTGCCAGGAATTAAAAGACTTTTGTTGTCCTGTAGCTCAGTGGTTAGAGCACTCGCTTTGCAAGTGAGAGACCTGAGTTCAATTCCAGGCAGAGGGCGAAACCTTGGGCAAGTTTCCTTACCCCACACAGAGCCTAATAATAATCCCTCCAAAACAAAAAACAATAATAAATTGGTCATTTTCAATCCACGACTGTTTGTGGGACATTGCTGTGCGCAATTGGCTGCCGCGTTCGCCCACAAATATACAGTCAATTCACTTTACAGTGTGTTCTGTGAAGCGCTTTGGGACGTCCTCCCGACGTGAAAAGCGCTATATCAAATGCAAGGATTATTATTATTATTATCATACAAGTCCACAAGTAGCTTTGCCTCGTACGGGGAGCGGAGTGGCCAATTCGGGGGAGTTGTTTTGAAAATCTGCAAGAAAAACTCTTCCAAAGGGGGGGGGGGAAAAAACCAATAACATTTCGCAGGTGTAAATGTTATTTACAAAAAAAAATAGGCACCCGCACAGGGCAACAAAAACCCGCCCAATTGGGCGTGAAACCTGCCCAAACCCGCCCAACCCCCCACATTGGGAGATGGTGGGGCGGGTTGGTCGCCCGTGGCCCATGTAAACGTCAATCGTCCCCGACGCACGATCGCTATTGGACGCCACTTCCCGCCGCCCGCCCGTCAATCATCGCAAATTCTGATTGCCATTGGGCCGCTTGTCCCCGTTTCCCCGCCTCCCCCTCCGCCCCCACAATGCCCGTCAATCACCCCAACCTCGGCTCAGCGTCGGGGGGCCGCGTGTCACCACGACGTCCCGCCCCCCCCGACACATCAATCATCCCCCAAAGGCAACCGCGGCTGGTCAGCACCCGCTGCCATTGGTGGGCGCGGCCGTCAATCAGCGTCGCCCTTGGTTACGCCTCGAGAGCGCTGACGGGCGGGGAGGGGGGGAGAAGAGGGCGGAGCCGGAGCGGCGCGAATGGATGGAGTCCGTCGGGCGCTCGGCCGCCATTTTAGTTTGTTAGTCAGGCGCTGAGGAGGGAAAAGCCGCCTTTCTCCGACACTCACAGCCTCGAGGGCTGAGGAGAATCTCATTTATATAACTATATACAGCGCACAGAGGGCGAGTTCGAGCAACGGTGGAGTGGAGCGGGTGAGGCGCCTCCCGATCTGCCTGGGGGCTTCCGAGGGGGGGCGGGCGGGGAGGGCGTGGGAGAGAGTGAGTGAGTGAGAGAGAGAGAAGAGGGAGGGGAGAGAGAGGGGGAGGAGAGAGAGAGAGAGAGAAAGAGGTGGTAATGTCAGAAGGGGAGAAGGCGGCGGCGGCGGCTGCGGAGAAGGCGGCGGCGGAGAAGAAAGCGGCCGAGACCATGAGCGCGGCGGCCGAGGTGGACGACGACGAGGAGGAGGAGGAGAGCGAGGATGAGAGCGAGATCCTGGAGGAGAGTCCGTGCGGCCGTTGGCAGAAGCGGAGGGAAGAAGTGAGTGAGTGAGTGGATGAGTGCGTAAGCGGATGGGGATCGTAATAATGAATAACCTTCATTTTCGCCCACAAAATGCACAGTCACTACACTTCGCGGTGTACTCTGGGAAGCGCTTGTGGACGTCTCAACGACCCTGATGAGGCGCAGTGTCAAAGGCAGCGATGAGCACTTTGCTGTCGGAGAATCCTCGCGTTCGGCAACGGCGCCTTCTCACGTCAGAAGGACCTCTCAAAGCGCTTCGCAGGATTTGACTGTGAGGCGGAGTGACTGGAGTATTTTGTAGGCAAACGCGGCACCACAACCGCGCGCGGCAGCCCCGGTGTGAGTGACCAATGTTATCTGGCGGACGGTTGGCCAGGACACTGTTTGCCAATAGTGCCGTAGGATCTTTTGACGTCTGTCCGAACAGACGGAGAGACTTCACGTCTCATCCGAAGGACGGGTGGTGGTGGGCTGAGACGTTCCCGCACAAGCACTGCCCTCTGCTCCTTACTTCCCTGCGATTTTATTCAGGGAGAAGGGGGTGGGTGAAGACATGGGTATTTCCAGGCAGGGGGTGAAACCTTGGGCAAGTTTCCTTACTCCACACAGAGCCTAATAATAATCCCTCCAAAAAAAACCAAAAACAATAATAATAAATTGGTCATTTTCAATCTACGACTGTTTGTGGGACATTGCTGTGCGCAATTGGCTGCCGCGTTCGCCCACAAATATACAGTCAATTCACTTTACAGTGTGTTCTGTGAAGCGCTTTGGGACGTCCTCCCGACGTGAAAAGCACTATATCAAATGCAAGGATTATTATTATTATTATGTGTGCGAGGAACCAGTATTTAAATGTGGCTGTTTTGGTCAGCGTCCCTTCATGGTTCTTTGGTGGACGTGGGGTTGAGAAACTATCCTAAATATTAAATTGGGTGTAACTTGTGGCTTCTTCGGAGATTGTCCGCTTCAATTTTTATTGGGAGGGGGTGTGAGACTGACATTTAACAATTAATTGTGACTCAACCTGTGGCTATTTCCCTTTAAATTTGTTCAGGAAGTGGGGGCGGGGGAGGGGGGGCTACGTTTAAGTGAGAAAATTGTGTTTTAACTGGTCGTTACTTCAGTCACGGCTTCTTTAGATTTATTTAGGATAGTGGGATGCAAGTAGGTTTATTTACTGTAAAATTGTTTGTTTCTATTTTTTGAAAAAAATGCATTTCTTTCTGCATTTGTTCAGGGCTTTGGGACGCCTTCCCGACGTGAAAGGCGCTCTATCAATTTAATTCTGTTGTTTTTGTTTCTAAGTATTTCACCATGCTCCACTGTTTCCATTTAATTATATTTAGGGGTGGGAGGTTTCAGAAAGTAAAAATAACTATAAAATAGTGTAAAAGAAAATAAATAAATTGGTCACTTCAACCCATGACTGTTTGTGGGACACTGCTGTGCGCAATTGGCTGCCGAGTTTCGCCCACAAAATGTAGTCAATTCACTTTATAGTATATTTTGTGAAGCGCTTTGAGAAGATGTGATAAGGTGCTATATTAAATGCAAGGATTATTATTAGCTTGGTAAAATTGGACTGACTTGGGGCAGTGATGCATCAGTCGATGCTGTTTCTTCATACAAATATCGTGGGATTCAGTGAAGAGCGTTTATTCACAATAGGAATGCGGTTGTCAACTGGCCGATGCCTTTTCAGTGGTCAATAAATAAAGTAATAATTTGGTCACTCAATCCACAACTGTTTGGGGACACTGCTTTGCGAAGTTGGCTGCTGTGTTTCACCCATTATATGTACAGTCAATTCATTATACAGTATATTCTGTGAAGCACTTTGAGTTTTGAAGACGTGATAAGGTGCTATCTCAAAATGCAAGGATTATTATCAAGCATTACACTGTGCGCTAGGTTTGGCTCATGTTCCTTTCATTTTATTTTGGTTGTGAGAGAACAAAATTAAATTCTGTTTTAACTTATTCATCGATCTGTCATCTCTTGAAATGGTGTATAACGGAGGAAGAAGCATGGCTTTGCAGTGACTCCGGTAGGGAGAAGGAAAAGTTAGCTATCAAATCATGTTTAACTTGTGACAGACGAGGTAGATCTAAAAAAANGTTTGGATAAAGTCTCTTTAATTTTATTTTGGGGTTTTGCAAGGGAAAAAAATGTTTAAAGTGTGGGAGAGTGGGTACAATGCACTCTGTAAAGCTATGAATGCTGTTGATCTATCATATAACTAGAATTTAGTTGGTTAAACTCCTTGGCCTGTTTAGCCTCATATGCTGTTATACGCTCTGGTTTTGTGTGAAAATGCTGTTGTTTGTCACTTTGGCCATGTTTTGAGTCCATGGAAACTCTATCTCTTGTTTACAGCTGTTTCGGTTAATCAGCCAGTCATTTGTCAAAAAGTGCAATATATTGGAAGTATTGCAGACACATTTCAGAAAAGGATTACTTGCACTTGGACTTCATTTGTTTGAGGGTGGGGGAGACGAGAGACAAACTCATAGATAATTGCACCGTCTGAAGTATAAATACAGACAAGTCTACACAAGGCAGTGTTACAATTTGAATTGCCAGACCAACAACATTAATTACAGTATGTTTAACATTTAAACGCTTTGAGGTGTCCTCCTAACCTGAAAGGCACTATAAACAGTAGATGCAAACTGTATTGTAACATTGTCAAAAAATGCACATAAGTCTGATGTTTGTATATGTGGCAGATTTATTTTTGTATAACCTTTTTAGTAGAAGGGGTAGGGTAGTAAGCTTCATTATGTGCAATTTGTGATGGAGCTATGTGAACTGCTGTGTGATTCTGTGGCATAAGAGATATGTGGAAAGGGATGGAAAGATTAAGTGAAAAATAATCCTTGCATTTGATATATCAATTTACATGTTGGGAGGACGTGCTTCAATGCTTCACAGGATTTATTGTAAATTGTAGTCTTGTTTTGTGAAAAAAGAAAGTAATGGAACAGATAGGATCGTGACCTCCTATACTGAAATGTTTGTTTCTTTGTAGGTTTATTTTGTTTTCGAACACGTTTCAAATGAACAGTGGTGCCCTAATTCCATAGATCTTAAAGTGATTTCTTACATTTTCTTTAAAACAATCCAGGGGTCATGCTGTTTTGGTGCTAGGTTCCAGATTGTTTTTAAATTTCCATCTGACAAATCTAATATAATTATGGAAAATTAGATTAGTTCCTGAGTACAATGCATCTTTCTTAAACATAGTACTTGTGGATCATAGATCTTTTGAATGTTAGTAACTGTCTGTTGATCAGGATTAAATACGCCACTTTGCGAAAATCAGGAGCTTGCCTTGACAGAGGGCACATTGATCACCCCTTTCTCTTATGGTTTGAAAGGATTTTTTTACTTGATGTCTTCCCCCAAATATTCTTTGATGTGTAACCAGGAGATTTGTCGATTAAAGTTTAATCAGACTTCTGTTTTTCAAACCACTCTTATTAGTTTGTGTGGGTCGATCTACCATCTCCCATGATTTTCTTTCTCAGCGAAGGAGAAGTCTGATAGGTTCATCCTCGACCAGATTTTCTTTTGTGATTTGTTCTGATAATGCCAGATGTATTTAGTTGTTGAGCGTTTTGTTTCGCAAGTAAAAACTGAATTGTAAATGAATCTGCATCTGGAGACCAGCTGGAAATCTAAACATTTATTCTAATTGATGAAGGTGGAGCAATGACCTTGTCACTGAGCCATTCGACAACCCCCCCATGCAGTGGGCTGAACGCTAAATTCCCTTTATGAGAATTTTGTATTTGATCCAGGCTCATTCTCAATTTACAGTTTCATCATTTCTTATACTTGGGAAATTCTTGCAACACAATGATTATGAATCTAAAGGGAGGACAGGACGTTTGCTCCTGATGATATGGAAGTGTAAAGGGATTGAGTACCTAGTTTTAGCTCCCTTCCTTTTGGTGCTTACTTTTCAATTGCTTCTCAAGATTATCCTTACACTGGGCCTGCATTTTTCCCGATCAAATGTAGTTGCTATAGAAGTTACATCTGTTCCCTTTCCCTCTTGTACACACCACACCGTATGATTGGACATCAAAACACTGTATTTACTACCTAGTTTGATTGGGCCTGGCTAAGCACAACTGTTGTGCGATCAGTATTATCATTCACCATTATCTTTGTGAAAGTGCCTATTCTCTGAATTCTGTAGCTTTGCCTGCTGAACGATGTTCCCCTTTTGGGATCCTTCCTCTTTTTGCACCTCAATGCTCAGTGGATAAATGTACCGCACACTGTGTCTCTCACATTGGCCAAGAAGTTCCCTAATTATCCCCTGGATTTAATTGAATTAGCTGAGGCGAGTGGACATGAGGAAAGGTCACCATGGTGTGTGCTGATATTCCGATACCTATGCTGAAGTGTGAACTTCCTTCTCTTTTCCACCAGACTCAGGTTAACATTTCATCTGAAGGATGATTACACAATTACTGACTATGGTTTTTTTTGGAACCATTTGGACAATACTCCCAATTGGCAATTACTGTTTACACAACGCGAGGAGGATGTGTTACCTATTAGGACCGGTTCTTCCGCAGATTACATAAAACCTTTTCTCATTGCGAACTCCACTCCCTTTTGCCTCCTGGCACAGATTTTTATTTGTATATGACAGGCATGACAAGGCGATGTTGAAAGAGACCTGTAGTGTTAGGTAATTCATCACTCACCTTGTATGGCAGAAATAAATAACTGGGCTATATTGCCAAATTAGTTGTTTTGGTTGCACCTGGATTATTTTATGAAGGTTGTACTGAGATAAAGGGGTAATTGGGCCATTGAGATGTTGAGGAGAGCACTCCTAGAGGGAAGAGCTGATGAGGTGATGAGGTTTGTAACTCGAGTGGGTTGGGAAACAGCTGGAAATGGGATTAGACAAAATGGCTCCACTGGCGTCCCAGCACAGTCACAAGGGGGAAAGAGCTGTGGAATGGGATTTGATTGCTCGGCACCATTAC